GGTCAAGGTGCAACCTCCAATTTGGGAGGTGTTAAATAGCTGGAGGCTGGAGAAATATGGCCAGAGGAAGGATCACTTTATAATTGCCCAGTATTTTGGGGCTGGCCAGCGTGTATTACTGGCTTGAGATAGATGGACTCTGATCTGACCTGGCTTGCCTGCTCTGTACCGTGTGAGTATCCACAGAGGTTGGACCAGATCAGCTGTTGGGAGCTTGAACAGACCAACAGATTCAACAGGCAGGACTCAAAAGTCCTTTTGTGGGGATGGAACGTGGATTTTCCGGTCTCTTCTTGGACGTGCCATGTCTAGAAAAATTGAGCCCGGCTTTAGGAGGGCTGGCAGTTTCACCTTGGCTCTGACAATTCTAGTGTTTTAGTTTGTTTGTTTGTTTTTCCTTAAGGCTTTAGCTGTGGGAGTGACTCTCAACTTTCATGTAAAAATTATCCATGTAATTATGATTATACATAATTATAACTATATTTATAGTTATTCCTTCATGATTTCATGTCATCCTAAGATCTTGTAATTTGGGAGAGAGGGGGGAAAAAAAACAGCTTTAGTGCATGTAAAATAGGCTGGAGTGGGGGAAAGTCCATAGCTGGAATGCCTCCACCATGCGTCAGGCACGGAGAGCTTTTCTGACGGGCTGGTGCCCACCCACGCACCGCGCCCCCGGGAAGGAGCCCTGCAGCCCATCTGCGTGGGCTGGGTTTGCTTGTTGGTCCGGGAGCTCATGGCAACGTGCAGGGGTTCCCGTTGCTGCAGCCGCAGCGTGGGGTGTCAACGCTCCTGCAAACTGGACAGGAGGCACGTGGGGCTCTCTCCGTGGGGCAGGGGAGCTACATCGCTGTGCTGAGCACCTGGAAAATGCTGGAGCCAGGGGGGGACAGTTCCTTTGGGGGTCCCAGTCGTTCCTGGTGGTGCCGGCGAGTGGGTTTGTGCTGTTAGCTAAACGCCTTGGGGTTCAGAGCAGTGCTTTCTTTGGGTTTCAGGGAACAGAACAAGCGGGGCCAGTTCTGAGCTCGTGGAGGTGTTTCTCAGAGGTGGGTTAGAGGGCCAGCAGCAGGCAGCTTCCCAGGAGTGGCCAGGCAGCCAGGAGCCGAGGCGAGAGCTTCCCAGCCTCGGCGTTGCGGGCAGAGGGAGGAGGAAAGGTGAGCTGCAGGTCCTGGAGGGACAGGAGCTTGCTGGAAGCCTTGATAACAGGGAGCTCTGGTCTACAGCAGCTGGCTCTGTCCCCTGGGCAAGCTGTGTGCAGCTGTTCCTACTGGTCCCCGTGATGCCCCCCCTTTCATACTGAGGCTGTTCTGTTTGTTGCAAGAAGGAGAGATGTAGCTGGAAGGCACAGTGTCCTTTAGGTGAGGCTTGTCATACCGGCCTCTAGCGCTGGTTGAGACCTGAGGCTGTTAGAGCTGTGGGGCTGTGAGAGTGGACGGCAAAACGCGGTTTCCACGTGTAAAACTGCGTGAAGTGGGAGCGCAAACGGTACTGGTGCGTGTGCCAAGGGCACTGGAGCAGAGAAAGGCCGCAGAAGTGATTTCAAGTCCTCAGGAAAGCCACTTGTTTATGAAATACATGAGGATTTCAGCCCATTCAGTTTACTCCATGTAGGACTAAGAGGGTGGTGACTTAATATTAACAGGGGAATCGTGCCAGATTCAAGAGAGCCATTTAAGTGCTTTGGAAGTGGGCAGTGGCAGGAAAATAAAGACACCAATTAACTTCAGATTAGACGTAAGGCCCCGAGTTATAGCAGGAGGATTCCTGTTGCAAGGCAATGAACTGTACCGAGGTACCAACCTTTGGAACAAATGAATCCTTCGAATCAGCCAGCCGTCACCTGTCTGGAAAAGCTGCTTTCCTGTCGCTGAGATACTAGGCTGAAGAGCTGTGTCATTATATTGAGCTTTATAGCCTGAGTCACACAGGAGGTAGGACTAAACAAATCAATAAAACTTCCTGGTAGGTAGTCGCCTCGTTCTGACATGGCTCGTTCGTGCATCGGACTGTTGGTGCCTGCATTGGGGGCAGTAAGAGAAGTTGTTCCCTCTGGGGCAATCCCTGTATTTGCAGGAATTATTGATGAGCTGGAAATGTTTATTAATGAAGCTACTTAGATCCTGAAAGGGGGAGCTGTGATCGCTGCATGGGGGTTTGGGGGGGGTGTCGGTCTTCAGCACAGCAGTTCTCTGGCTGCAGGCGGCGGTGGAAGTGCCGCTGTGTTGGCATTGCGTTTGGGTGTTAACAAGAATAACAGCCTGACAGCGTCGCTCTGACAGCCCTGTGAGTGCCCTGTTGTGCTCTTGTGGTGCCCCAGTCGTGAGCCCACCAAGACGCTGCTTGTCGTGAGGACACTAGTTAATTTATGACTCACTTCCAAGGCGCTTGGGAGCAGTAATCACAAGCTAGGACCGCAGTGTGCAAACACAAAACCTAAGGGCACTCCCTGCTCCACAAAGCTTTCAGTCTAAACATTGCAATCTAAACACACAGCAAGAGATAGCCCAGAGGATATCAACAGAAGATGTGGAAACAAGAGGCAGACGCTGATTAGTGTAATGATATGTTCGTAACGCACGGCTTTGCTCGCCTCCGAAGATTTCTTCATCTTCCATTAGGGCAAGACCATCTTTGATTTTTTTTTTTTTTTAAAGTTTTTCCCCTCACTTTCTGGGCTGGAATTGAGAGCTTGGTTTGTTTTCCCAAGGGTTTCTGGAGGGATTTGTCATTTGTGATTCTCTCCTTGGCTTTGTGAGCATCAGTGCACAGTGGTGGGCTGTTCCTGCGTGTGCAGGGGCTGGGCTGGCTTGTGGTGACACCAAGCACAACAGTCGCAACGTGAAAGCATTCGCTTGCCCAAGAGGGTGTTTAACCAGCCAGGACAGTGCCTTCTGTGTTACCAAACCTGAATCCCTGGGGGTCATTCGCATGGGCTTGGAAGTATGTACCAGTCCTTGTGAAACTATGTGGTGTTACCATGGCATCCCAACAACACAGGCAAACTCTGCTCTCTGCATCTCTGCATCCTGCTGTGACTTAACCTGAATTGAAACCGCTTTCAAACGGGGAATGTTCACTTTGCAGGATGCAAGGGATCTAAAGTGACTAGCTGCGACACTGGGAGCTGGGCAGCGTTTAGCAGCAAGGTAGATGAGGCTTTCCTGAGTCTCTCCTGCGTTGGCCGGGTTGCTAATGGTACCAAAAAGAAAGCTTGAACTTTGAATGGAAGATGGACTTATCCTTAGTTAAAATCAGTGGTGCTGCATGGCAGTAATTAAGATTATAAAATGGCTTTTCATTGATCTGGCCCTTGATAGCGCAAACCAGGGTGAAGTTCAGTTCTCTTACTGCTGAACTGGTGTTTCTGCCGAGGCTGCTGAGAACAGCTTTGCCTTTATGGTAGTTTATCTGACAGCCCGCTTGTATTTTACCTGGCTGGATTGCTTTCTGGTTTGTGTTGTGTCATGCAAAAAATCCCTGTCTGCTGATACAAAGGAGTTGAGGCTGGAATGCAACCTGATAAAATCCAGCAGCTGGGGCTTACAGTGGTGGCCTGACTGTAGGACTCTAACCCACCCATTCAGATTCAATCCCTGACTTCTCAAGACAACCCAGAGGAGTTGCGAGAGGGCAGCCTGTCTCTGTGAACTGGAAGGACCTGGAGCTCTGTGAAGCTGCTGGAGGCTTCTGCCGTGTTGCTGGCTATGGATGGACGAAATGATCCCTAGCTCGTCCACATCAGCCGTCACGCCAGGTATAGCTGGCTGTGCATAACATGCGAGTTTGCTTTACACTCAATGGATTATTTTTTTTGCTGGTGGAAGCCGGGCCAGCTTGCAGGGCAGGGAGGAATCTTGCCTCATATGTCTCTGTCTGGCTCAATCTCCTCGTTTTGCTCCTTCAGCAAGAGAATTTCCTTTTACTAGCTGGGATCTCCAGCCAGCTTGTATTCTTCCCGCAAAGAAGGAAGTACATATTTTGGATAGGCTGTGGCCAGAGTATGTAGGCAGCGCTATCTTGCTGTCCTGATGAGGGGAAGAGCTGAAGGGTGACACATTCAGGCCAGACTTTGAAATCTCATGGAGGATTTACGACCTGATAGTACAGATCTGTCCCTCCAAGGCTATTTGAAAATGCAGAAAGCCCCTAAAACTAATTTTTGTCTATGCCTCTTCTGCATAGGAACCTAGAAATTTAAGCAGAAACCTGTCCTGTCTCATTTGGAGTGTGGACTGGCGTGTTGGGTATTTCCCAATTTAGGCGCAACCCACCTAAACCACCTTTATTTTAGTGCTAACAGGAGAGAGAAGGCAAAACCGTGGTGTCCAGGGGTAGCTGCGGCATCTCTCATCTGCCAGCCTCGCTCACCTGCACGGTGCAGGCTCCCTGGGTGCTGCTGGTGCAGTTCAGTGTGTATATCCCCAAGGCTGTAGCTGGCTTTGGTTTACATTAAACTAGGCTGGACCTGGCGCTAAGCTGAGGCCCCTCGTCTCCTTTCTGCTGTTGCACAGGAGAGCTACCTGCTCTGCCATAGAGTTAAAAATTAACGCGTATTCCCCCTCTCCTCGTTTCAACATCCATTTAGGCAAGCGGGGAGGAATGGAGAAGCCTTGAGGAAACAGGGATTGGACCTGTCCTGTTACAACTCTCTGCCACAGGAGCCCAGAAGAGCCCGTGCTTCGCGTCCCGCGGCTGCCCATGCGGCAGAGGAGAAAGGAGGCGCAGAACAAAGTGTGGGGACACGGCGCCAGGTGTGTCCTGTCCCTTCCCTTCTCGCCTGCTCCGATTCTGCAGGTTGACAGAGGGTGGGAAGGCAGCCAGGCACACCCAGCTCTCCCAGGCAGTAAAATGATCCTTCTTTTGCCCTTGGGCCAAGCCCAGCTTTTCTAACGGATAAAAGGAGAAGCAGTCAGGAGAACTCGCTCACTTCCTCTGTCTCCAGCACAGCTTTCCTGAGCTTTTGAAGGGTGGTGGATACTGAAAGCACCCTCGGAGCAGCCATGTCCCGGTCTGTGAGTTTCAGCTCTCGCTCTGTGGCCGTCCCAGGGATCAACCAAGTGCGGGTCAGCACCGTCTCCTCGACCCGTGGAGTAGGAGGGGGTGTCGGCTTAGGCAGGGCAGGTGGCTTTGGCAGCTCCAGCCTCTACAACCTCGGCTCTGCCAACAAGCGGATCTCCTTTGGAGGTGGCAGCTCCTACAGCGCTCGCTCTGGGTACAGCTATGGAGGCATGGGATTCGGTGGGGCTGTCAGCCCTGGGGGCATTCAGGAGGTCACCATCAACCAGAACCTCCTGACACCCCTGAATCTGGAGATTGACCCCAGCATCCAGCGGGTGCGCAAGGAGGAGAAGGAGCAGATCAAGACGCTCAACAACAGATTCGCCTCCTTCATTGACAAGGTGAGATGTTGGAAAGACTGATAGCTCTGTGGACACTGCTTAAAAGCAGGTCTGACCCAAAGCTTGCTTAATCCTGTGGGGGATTCACAAATGGGCTCGGGATCAGGTCCTTAAGAGCATCGTGTGATTTCCCCACTGCAATCCACTAACTCTTATCAGAGCTCTGCTTGCGGTGCCATCAGTAAGGTGTTTTGTGCTGCTTAGGCCGGCTTTGCACCGTTTAGCTGGTATTGCCCATGATGTGGGCGCAGGCTTTAAAGATCAGATCTGCACCCAAGCACACCACCACCAAATTCAGGGAGGAGGGGGCCTCTTGGAGAGTAATCGTCCCAGCAGAACAGATCTTCGCATAAATCAGAGCTTGCTGTGTTTGTTTGCACTGCCCTGAACCTCTAGCTTTACTGTCTTGCACTAATTAATCCCACGTCCTCTGTAAACTTCAGCTCTGGCATCCTCAAAACGCGAGGAATCCAGACCTGGAGTTTGAGTAATTGGCTGACTTTGAGGTCTATGGATGGCTTCTGTCAAGGGTCAGCAAGCAGAATCTGCTTATCTTTAATTCATACAAAGCCTTAAAGTCATAAGCCAAGCCCCAGAGTAGCAGTGCTCCCTCGTGGTCTTTATCACCCTCCAGAGTTTAGGTGCTTCCTGTGAGCAATCTAAATTCTTGAGATGCCATCCGCAGCCATCCTTCCCCCAGGATCCAAACTCTGTAGTGTCAGCTCCCCCTTCCTCCTGCTTTCACAAATGACCCCTTGGTTGCTTTCCAGGTCCGGTTACTGGAGCAGCAAAACAAAATGCTGGAGACCAAATGGAGCCTCCTCCAGGACCAGAAGACCACTCGGAATAACATTGCTCCCATGTTTGAGATGTACATCAACAACCTGCGACATCAGCTGGATGGGTTGTTGAATGACAAAGGGCGTTTGGAGGGGGAACTGAAGAACATGCAGGATCTTGTTGAGGATTTCAAGACCAAGTAACGTATAATCTTCCCATCTAACGGCGTAGTTGAGCTGGCAGGCTGGTCAGTAACTTGGCAGAGAAGTCCCCAGCTTTTCTGCTAGGGAGGGAGATTTTTTTTCCCAGCCATGAGTTTGGTGTCTAGCCCAGGGAAGCTGCCTGGATTTTTCTTGCCTGGATTGCTCATTGTTCCTGGCACCTTGTTCCCACATGGTCTTCAGTGGCTCCATCCCCTTGGCTTTGCTTTGGGGCCTCCTCAGGGATGGCTTTGTACTTTGGGTTGGACGTGCCAGTTTGGGTCTGTAGGAACCCCATGGGAGCTCAGCAGGTTGGTGGGCAGTGGGCGAACTGCTGCTGGTTTTGTGGGTGGGTAATGGAGCAGGTGACCTACAATTTTTAAGCAACTTTTCAGTCCAAATTGTGTTGCTTGGGAGGAGTCCCATGAAGAAAGTAGCCTTTGTCCCAGCCTGTGCCCAACCCAGCTCTACAGGGGAATGCCTTTAGTGAAGAAATAAAAAAAAAAAAAAAAAAGGAAAGAAAGAAAAGAGGTTGCTGGCAGACTGGATCAAGCAGGAACTGAAAACAAACAGATCTGATAATGCCCAGGGTGTGGTTAGTGAAAGTCAATAGCCAGTGATTCCCAAGGAAGGGCATGGGAAGGATGTTTCCCCCAACCCTGCTCAGTTATTTCTACTCTGGGCTCATCCACAGTTGCACTTTGCACCTCTGCAAGGCAGCAGCAAGGAGCTGGTTTGCACCCAGAGGAATTACAGCCCTCGTTTTAGTGTCCCCCACGTGAATGCAGGGTGCACAGGTTCATGATTTATTCCTCCAGCTTTACAGGTCCACGTAAAGCCAAACCCTCTAGGTGCTAAGAGAAGGGAAGCAGGAATTAGGAGCCGAAGATGCTAGCGCAGCAGAGGGAGCGAGGATGTAGTGACTGGAGTTCAGAACCTGCTTCTCCCCATTTACATGAAAAAAAACCCTCACCTTCTAAGCAGAGTCCCTGAAACACGACTAGCTCGGGACGTGTCTGTTGCCTCTTTTCATATGCTCAATTGACGCAGCAATTCTCAGTTTACATCTGGGGTAGGGGAGGAGATTTATATGCACGAGGCTCCAGGGGATGAGATTCAGTCCCTTGTTCAGTAGCTGCGTTGACTGAGGGTGTGGTTCAGGGTAAGCCAGGGTAGGAGCAGGCTGCGCTCGCACTGCCCACGTGGCTGGGTGCAGGGCACGCCGCGGTGTGACGGTGCACTGGGCTTCCCCAGGCGCCTCAGGAGTTAATGGAGAGTGTCGAATGGTTTGCCGGTTCGTCATCCAGCTTGGTGGAGCTTCCCCCAGGAAATGAGGAATCTGACAAACCGTTGTAGAATAATTCAGTCTTTTTACCTGTCTCTGATTATCCGTTCTGCACCGGCGGCTGTACGTACGCAGCACGAGCGCGCAATTCCCAGGTCACATATGACTCTGCAGTAGCGACAGAATGCAGCTCGGTGACCTCGGCAGGGACAACGTCCCTTTATGCCGGTGTGGATGGGCAAGCTTCCAGCGTGGAGCAGAAGGGGAGGAACATGAAGGCTGTTGGAAGTCAAGTAGCTCGTGCTTTGGAAAGCAGATGACAGTGCTAGCCATGCAGGGCCTGTGTAAATAAACGGAGCAGTGCTCTAACTTTGGCGACAGCAATTCCCAGACAGCCAGAAAAAAGTGGTTCCTGCTCTGTTCCTTGGGTGACTTTCAGGATTCATGCAGCGGGTTGTTTCAGCAGGCTGGCTGTACGCAGAGTGCTGTAAGGCAGGCTCTGAGATCCAGGCTTGCAAGTGGTACAAGTCAGGGAACTCCTAGAAAGTCACCAGAGCGTGGTTTTTATCTGCTCATTACATCCAAAGGTGAACACCTAAGGAAGGGATGTAGCCAATATTGGAAGCTGGTGTGACTTTGAAGCATAGCCACTTTGTCCAGCATGAGAATAATTCTACTCCGCTCTTAACAGGACAGTGGCATGTGATTGACACCTGCAAAATGTCCCCGAATGTCTGTAATAAGGAAGTGCACAGCAAAAGCAGCGTTAGCGGGTGCTTTGAACAGCATAGAGGAATTTGTTGAATCTCCTTGCGTCTCTTCTGCATTTGTATTTGCTCTCTCAAGGGACTAGTGAAAAAGCCGAGAGCCTCAGGACCTAGACTGCCATCCTGCCGCTGTCTATAAGTGAGGACAAGGAGCAGAAATCTTCTTAAGTGCAGTGAATTTTAATGAATGTGGGAAAGCATGGGTGAGGAATGCTTTCCAGGTTAGTGGTCATGGCGGTGTGGACCAGAACAGCATCGGTTCATCCAGACAGCACCCTGGAACTGTGGCATACAGCTGCTGCCTCTTGTGCAAGTAACACACGTGCTGCAGTGGTGCAGCGAACCTCCGCCTGTGGCTGGCTTGCCTGGGGGAGTTGCGGGCTTTGCTGAGGTGGTTCACAAGGAGGGAGATGGAGGGAGCGAGAAGGGAATTAGGGTAACTCTTCGCTGTGACATTTTTTCCTTTTACCCAGGCTCTAAGTTCACACCAATCCCTTTTTTCCTGGCAGGTATGAAGATGAAATCAACAAGCGCACGGCAGCGGAGAACGAGTTTGTGGTGCTCAAAAAGGTGCGTGCCGGGGACATTAGCTGGGACTGATCGTACCTGTTTGCAGCCCTTCTGCCCCTTTTGCCCCTATACTCGTGTTTGCCACCGCTGTGCCCGCAGACCTGCAGGCGAGAATTACAGCTCTCATTTCTGGCTAAAGGCTGCCTCAGTGTAGGCTCTGAAGTCTCTGTAGGAAGCGGGGAAGGAGTGCCAGATCACAGAATCACAGAATGTTAGGGGTTGGAAGGGACCTCTGGAGATCATCTGGTCCAATCCCCCTGCCAGAGGTCACCCAGGAACGCGTCCAGACGGGTTTTAAATGTCTCCAGAGAAGGAGACCCCCTCAACCCGCCCTGGGCAGCCTGTTCCAGGGCTCTGTCACCCTCACAGGGAAAAAGTTGTTCCTTATGTTCACGTGGAACCTCCCGTGCTCCAGCTTGC